AGGCAGTGGTAGTGATCCCTGTAAGATGTTACTTTCTCTCAATTTTTGTTTATTTCAATGCTTACCAGTCCACTTTCATTGTCAAGGACTGTTCTATCCTTTCATCTAATGCGCATCATCCTATAGATATAAACAGGCGAACAAGCCCACCAACTATGTTTTAACAAGGGGTGTGCGATAGACTTACCTCCACCTGGAGCACGGCAAAAAAGTCTATTGACTGGCAGTTGATTTCTCACTTCAAACTACCATCACCTCACTCTATGCCATAGTCGACTATTTCCACAGTACTCACCTCACCTTTTTTCTACCTTTGTGTTTGTCACTTACATCTTTGAAACAAACTTCTGTTCCCCCCCCCCTCTCGATTTTTTTTCAATTTGATATTCCTTCTCCTCTGTGAAGTCTGAAGTCAACTAAAGGGCTAATGATAACCATTAAGACGCCTGCCATTTGATATAAAGAAATAAAATATTTTAACAAAACACAATATATCTATCATTACTGGACTTAAAGTTGAATGGAACAATTCAAAGAAACCTCGTGAATCATATTGCGCTTGAACCAAAGCTTTGAGGGAAGGGGGAGGGGAGACTTAATGAAAAAATCGAATCAACTCACTCTGGCAAGATAGTCCTCAAACAAATACATGACCTTCTGTGGAGCACCCGCACACTTGATTGGTGTATTCGGCAAGGTGAAAATGGCTGTTCCTCCGTTGAAATTTTGAAATGCTTGGAAAGTTTTCTCCACATAATTTTTGGAGTAATTGGAGCAAACACGCGGATCCTCTTTAAGGGCTTCTTCTGCACCAACAACCTAAAATGAAGGCAAATTTAATAAAACGCCTCCATTAAAGACAGCATTACATCAACACCCTTGAGTTTATTCTTAATAGACCAACAGTTACCAAAGATGATAGTACGTCTTCATTTATTTTCGTGGGAAGATTGGTAGGATTTTAATTTATTTAAACACAGTTTCTAGTCGCTCTGTTAAGGGGTGTGCAATTGACTTATCTCCACGTGGTGCATCCTGGGCAACGCATACTCATGCGCCAAAAAAGTCCATAAACCGGCAGTTGACTTCTGACTTCAAGCTGCCACCACCGCACTGTATGCACATTCGACCCCTTCCGCAGTACTCATCTTATCTTTTCTCTGCCTTTGTGTCTGTCTCTTTTACATCTTTGAATCAGTCTTCTGTTCCCCCTCTCCACTTTTTGTGGCTTTGTCTGTTCCTCCCCTCTGTGAAGCCCGAAGTCAACTAATGAACTAATGATAACTATTATAGAGCCTGCCAGTTGATATAAATAAATGATAGATATACGTTCTATTAAAAAATTGAAAGTAATAGTGGAGAATTCCTTGTTTTAACGGGTTCAAATTTAAACCAATTCGTTTAGGTTGTGCCTTTGGATAAACCATAGCACTAGAACGTGAAACAATAAACATCTATTTTTTTTTCTTTAGGCGATGTAATGATAATTTTGTTTCCTGCCTTTACGTGCCAGAAATAGACCTTTATCTAACATCAAAATCTATAGAAAAGGGACTCTCATAGTAAAGTTCCCGCGCTTTATTTAAATAGGCGTACTTCGGCTTCAAGGTACAGCGGGGCTGCTTACAAGCTCAATACTGGGAGCCGTGGAAGGTCCATGTCCAGTGCAAATACGAACTATCTCCAAACAACATTTCTTCAATACCCTTGGCATAGTATCTTTCGGATTTCTATCGCTCAGAAACTCTGCATAGCCCACTCTATCGGCCATTAATGAGATTCACCTAATGCAGTGACCGCTTTTAATTCGACATAATGAACTTAAACTAACGCCTCAAGGTACCTCGATCACTTCTTACGAAACTGCAGTGTTTGTTTATTTTGATATTAGATGAATGGGAAACAAACAAAGCTGAACTATTTTTTCGCAAAATACTTGCGAATTTGAATAAGGCTAACTCCCAACTTTCTGGACCAATCATTATTCGAGCTCAAGGTTAATCATTAGAATATAGCCATTTTCTACCACTAATCAAGGCACCCACATGTCATTTTACAACAGGGCTAATTTTCTAATACGATAACACTACATCTATTTCTACAGGGGAGTCATGCCGTTCTCGTTTCTTCTATTAGTAGATTAGAAATGAAGTGATATAATTCGCTTGAATTAATAAAAAATAAATATGCCATTTACTTACCATATCATAGCGCAGCTTCATACCAAGGCACATCACAAGATAGTCGTAAGTTATCTATGAGAAAAATAAAAAATAACCCCTTCTAATATGAAAAAAATTGTTGTCCTTAAATGGTCTTACACTACTATTTTACCTTCCGTTCACTTAAAAATAAAAAAACTTGCAAATTTACAGGAAATTAGTAGTATGTACTCAGATCCGTTAAAAAATTCAAAGCGAGATACCTTTAATTGTCCATCTAGGAAATCATTTTCCAAGGATCACCTTGTTAAAAGAGCGATGCTCCGTCGATCGAAGTAGATTTGATTCCAACTTAAGGCGATTTTAGAGGCCATAGAAAGCTTAATTTATAGAACTGATAATCTTACTAGGATTAACAGGAATAGAATAGCCCTTAAGAGCGTGAAGTCTGGAAATTAGATCGACAAGCGTGCATTGACCATTTGGCTAGGAGGGGGTGGGGAGAAGGTGGCTTAATTGAGGGTGGACAATTCGGAATGTGATGGACAGACGAAATCAATAAACGTTGGGTAGGTGACTGCTCTTATCCTATATGAGTCATTGTGCGTACGGGGAATTGGCAACTAATAGAAAACAACCACCTAACAGTTAATTATAGGGCGCTAAACAGGGACAGTGCCGACACTTTGGTCAAGGGCCATAAATACAACAAATCTCCCACACTCAAGTGTGGGTAAATTAACCAATGCAGTTAAACATTCTGTCCAATACGTATGAGCCAATGGGAACTGAACCCGTGGCCTCGGAAATACACGATAACAGACGCACGGCGATCATTCAACATGTTAACTACGGACTCCGCAATTAACAATTAAATTTCACCGACTATTTTTTATACTCTGTCAAGTAATTATGACAGACTGGTCGAAAAGTAATATGATTAAGGAAATTACGGATTGTCTAGTATGCTCATAAAACTGAGGTATCCCCTATCTCTCTCTCTCTGAGGAGTTCTAATTGAGGGGACGCAAGGACTCCTTATTGAGTGGCCATGAAGTGGGTCTTCCAAGGCTCTAGAATATTGATAAATACCCTCCCCCTCCCCCCACCCGGCTGTTGATGCCAGAGTTGGCAGTACGAGAAGTTTTCTGAATGTTTTTTAGCAGTTAATAGTTTCAATGATAGGATAATGGATCCAGAAGTAACTGGATCCACTAGAACGTACATTCCTTTAAGCATCTTAAGAGACACACGTTGTTAGCTCAAATGTATACCCCTTAAGGAAGGTAGCTTAATTTGCCCATTAATTCTAATACACTTCTCAAAGTCCAATCATAGGTTTCGGGTATTGATTTGGATTTGAATGACGCCCATTCAACACCAGGGGGTGTTAACGCGTAGAATGAGCTGTATAAAAATATGAAATGTCAGGAATCTGTGAATCATAATTTAATGAGATTTGCAAAATTTGTTCCCACCAAACAAGAGCCTCTTGCCATTAGAAATAAAGCAAGAGCTACTTTGAACATGAATAGTTAAAGAAACTCCGAACCAACTTGAAGGAGATAGTCACATTAATGTTTAACGGAATACTGTTAATTTAATTTATTCAGTTGGCTGTTCTTTTTTTCCCAGTGGAAAAGACCAGAGACTCTAATCAAATCTGGCCTATAAAATATCACAGTTCTAATGAGGTAATGTCTTGATTATTGATGTCAGGGGTGCGAGCATTTAGAAGGCCAACCAATCATTTCAGAGCTACTTTCATCCGCTTTCCCCGTTTACTATTTATTGGTTATAATTGCCACATCGTAGACTTAAATATCTTAAATTTAGATTAATAAATTACGCATGCAATTTCGAGCACTTGATATAAAGCAAAACATCGGTCAAGTCTGTTTGTCTTTCAAAGGGAGAATAATGAATAGTAGCCTTTTCGAGAACTATTTCCGAGGAAAATGGTCCATTAAAAAACTTCATTGCACCTTTAAAGAGGCGTGTACATAACATCCCCGGGTAAGCCCGTGCAAATTGGCAATAAGTTGCGCAACATTTGTTGAATTCCCAATTGGAGAAAGTAGGTAATGTGGAGGGGTTATTTGCGGGGAAAGATGGTGGCGTTCGGATGTCAACTTCTGATAGGAAATTCTACCTCGCCCACCAGAAAACCAACCACCACTAAAGTGTGTGACGATCTGTGTCATCATCTCCTTTTAGACGCTTGCTAGGTTGGGAAGACACTGCCGAATAGACCATCACCGAAATGCAGACATTTCTTAGATTGGTGGAATTTCTTACCATGCGGATGACTGTTACAAGAACTGCATGGAACGAGGAAGGTTACGATATCATATGAATATGTACTACCTGGAATTCTAGGGTAGCAATGGTAAGGAATAATTATGTCATCTCAATGGCCAGATGCTTGAGAGAGCATAAGGAGGTTCAGACACTGATCGCTCTCAGAAAAACCCTTTTGTCTAGACTCGTCCTGAATATTTACATCGCAATTTTTGTTTTACATTATAGATAATAGCAACTATAAAGGATAGAGTGGTAACATCGGGGCCTTTCTTGGCAGGAAATTCGAATTTTGCACCTCCTTTAATAAGTATGATTGGACAATTCGACCAGTTGCAGGCACCGAGAGACGACCTTTGAATTTCAGCGTTTACCTCAGCAACGACAACCATTGAAAAAAACTATCTTTGAACCTTCCCTACATTGAATTATCTCCTTTTTGAGTGAACGAACGCATATTGCATCAATGAATTTTGAAATGCCGATTTCTGCTAATTATAATCTATACTATTAATCAAGACTTAGGATGAAAATAATTGGAATGACATAGTGTTAGAAAAAAGACTGAAAAATAAGCCATTTCCTATGTTAAAAACGTGAAACTAAATTACTTTTTTTATCAGCTAAAATAACTCACCTTAAGTGTAATTGCTAGGTTTCGCTAAGTTGAAAATTGTTGCAAGCTTCTGAAGTATTAATCAAATAGACAATTTGGTAAATAAATTGATTTCGGAATATGAAAAAATTAACTGAGAGTAGTGTTCAGTCATTGTGTCTAGATTATTAGGCGCTAACAAGCAAAAATTGAAGAACTTTATTTAAGTATATTAGCTCAATCGGTAGTTCAAACAGCACGAATTTAAGTGTGATACTTATAAAAATTATCGATTCCAACTTTTTTGGGATTTCAGAGTTAATTATGAAATAGTTAATTCTGAAATTAATATTTTGTAAAGCTGAGCAAAAAAATTATAAGGCCAGTGAGACGGGATAGTAGGGTGTTTACGAATTCATTTGAGCATTTAATAAATTAAGAATTGAATTTGATTTAACTGGCTCCAACAGTCCTTTTCAGTTGATGTCCAACACACGATATTTTCCACTCTAAAGTTATCTCGGCTTTCATAATCATTCTTAAGGAATTTCTATCGTACAATTGTTAACGATTGGAGAATCGCAAAAGTAACTTCGTTTTTAATAAGTTGCCCAAATGTCAAAGTAGAGAGAACAGAAATTAACCCACTTTGTGCAAAAAATGGAGGATGGACACAGAATTAGATGACAAGTAAATTACTGGGAAAAAAGCTGACATTACTTCACAAGATTCAAAAAGTGTTTGAGTATTTGAAAGACCGCGCCAGATTCGTTCATTCGAAGCATTTGCATGTTATGAATACAATGAAATTGAAAGGACCACGTGGGATTATAAATGTGCATTAAATGAGACTATGTTTTTAAATGCATTGATGAATAATTTCATCTTTTTGAATAGTTCCTGTGTTATTTCGTGTTAGCGGGGGTGTGCGATAGACTTACCTCCACGTGGTGCACC